GACGCTCTGCACCCACCTCGCCGGTGTTCCTGATTCCTGTTTCCCACTTTGAACTCTTGGCTCCTCAACCCCGACTCTGACGACAATGCTCTTGATTCATGCTCTGGACTCTGATGTTTTGGCTCCTGACCCCTTGGACTCTGGCTTAACAACTACGCTTATGGTTTGTGTTTTGGAGTTGGTGTTTTGGTTTCTTGCTATCTCGGCTTTCAACCTTGGACTGGACCCGGACTATCCCTCTCTCGCCCTGCCTGCATTCCAGCCTGTGACAGGTCGACTCTATGGCATTGTACCATGGTGAACCCCCCCTTCTCAACCCCCCCTCCTGGCTCCACCCCCAAAGTCTCCAGGTATTTTCCAACCCAGACCTGGCAACCCTACAATCAGGAGACAGGAAGAAGACTATATGAAAATAGTAGGAAGTCCCTAATCTTACTATGCTAACTAGTTGTCCCCTCTGCTGCCCCCTGTAGGATGTTCTTGTCATCTTCTCTATCTATGCACGATGTTTGTTGTTGTTGTTCAGTTGCACAGTCAAGTCTGATTCTTCGTGACCCCATGGACCACATCACTCCAGGCCCTCCTGTCTTCCACCGTCCTCTGAAGTTTGCTCAATTTCACGTTCATTGCATCTATGACACTGTCTAACCATCTCATCCTTTGCCGTCCCCGTCTTCTTTGACCTTCAGTCTTTCCCATCATCAGGGTCTTCTCCAGTGAGTGCTCCCTTCTCATTTGGTGGCCAAAGTATTTGAGCTTCAGTTTCATTATCTGGCCTTCTAGGGAACAGTCAGGGTTGATTTCTTTTAGGATTGACTGATTTGATCTCCTTGCAGTCCAAGGGACTCTCAAAAGTCTTCTCCAGCACCATAATTCAAAAGAATCTATTCTTTGGCGCTTGGCCTTCCTTATAGTCCAACTCTCGCAGCCATACATGACTACTAAGAATACCATTGCTTCGACCATATGGACTTTTGTTGGCAGGGTGATGTCTCTACTTTTTATTATGCTGTCTAGGTTTGCC